TCCGCCTTCAACACATACTCCACAGACGGAGAAGATGAAGGATAAATGTTTGGCACTCCCAACAGTCCCGAAGGAACAAACTGGAAACAATAATCGAACCCCTGAATCCATCGAGCACCGATTACCCTTCGCTGGAGGCTCTTCTTATCATTTTCTTCTAGAAAAAGATTATAGAGATCGCATCATAGACTCCATGGGGATGGAGATACAGGAGTTGAAAGCCCAACTTAAGAGGGTGCTAGGCGATCCAACAGAAAAGAAGACGGAAGTGGAGCCCTCTCGTTTGCGACGAAGGAGCTCATCCAAAATGCCACCAGTGAAGAAGTTCCCCAGGAATGAGTCTGGGAAACAAAGCCAGCCTATCCCGGTACAGAGTGAGGCAGCAAGCAGTTTCACCCGTGGGTTACGTCGGAAAAGGACCAAGAGGCAGAAGACCGTTAGTCAACAGACTGAATAACCTCCTCAGGACCTTCGTACTTGGTTGATTGGCAATAGGCAGAATGAACAACATCGGGATCATCTGGACCGTACTGTTCACTAGAGGGAACATCGAGCGCTGGACAGGCTCGTCTCTTCGTCATTCTCCCCGGAGATCGAGACCATGAGACCTCCAAAGAAATTCACCCCACCAAAGTTCACTTTATACGACGGGAAGTCGGACCCACTGACACATATTAGCCACTATAGATAGATGATGTCCCTATGGAACAGAGATGAGGCTCTGATGTGTAAAGTCTTCCCATCCAGCTTGGGAGAAATCGGACTTCGATGGTTCGATCGTCTCCTCGCTGGATCGATCCATGGCTAGAAGCAGCTCTCCGAAGAGTTCCTAGCCAGGTTTGTCTCCAACAGTAAGATCCCGAAGGAGTCGGATACACTGTTTGGCCTCCGTAAAGAGCAGGAGGAAACGCTGCGCAATTATGCTAGGAGGTACTGGGAAGAATACAATGACTTGGAGGAAAATGTGTGCAGTGAGCAGATGACCGTTATGTCCTTCAAACATGGTTTGCGCCCAAAACGTAAGCTGAGACAATCACTTACCAAGCGCCCGGCCACAGCTTTGAAAGACTTGCGCGCCAGGATTGAACAGTACACTTGTCTCGAAGATAATCAGATCCCCATTAAGGTAGTGTCAGCAGAACAAACAACTCGACATAAGAAGAGAACAGATCGAGGAGAACAGCGAGGGATTGCAGTAAATGAGGTGGATAAGTCCAAATCCCATGAAACCGTTGTGACTGTATTCAAAGAGCCAATCTATCGAATTCTGAAAAAGATCAAGAGAGAGCCGCTCTTTGTTTGGCTGCCGAAAATGTTAGGAGATCCAGCTCGGCGCAATCAGAAGCTCAGATGCACTTACCACCAAGACAGGGGGCACATGACTCAGAACTGCAGGGCACTGAAGCAACACTTGGAAGACCTAGTGGCAGCTGGACACCTAAGGGATTACATTGATCAGGATAAGGAAATGACCGAACCAGGAAACCCACCACCAGAAGAAAACATTGAGCATCCACCTCGGCTGATAATAAATGTGATTCACAGGACAGCGATTCAGGAATCTGAGGAGGCACTGAAGGAAGAGATTGCTAAGGCTGCGCAAATTCAGCGGATCATGTCAGTGAAGCCTGCATCAAAAAAGGTACGTACAGTACCTAAATCCCCCTTGTGCACAGTTTCATTTACTAGCAAAGACTTAGAAGGCATACAGCACCCACATACTGATGCATTAATTATAACTGTGGGAATTGGAAAACGATTTGACGTAAAACGAGTCCTAGTAGATCAGGGTAGTACAGCAGACATACTGTATTATGATTTATTCAGAAAGCTTGGTCTCTCCGAGCAGCACCTCACCCCAGTGGCAGCCCCGTTGGTCAGTTTCACTTCACAGCCAGAATGGCCGCTTGGCAGAATAGTGTTGCCAGTCGTGGTGGGGATAAAAACCCTCCAGATAGAGTTCTTGGTTATTAATACATCATTCCCTTACAACGCCATACTTGGCCGTCCGTGGATTCATCGAATGGAAGCAGTCCCTTCAACCTATCACTAGCTCATCCGTTTTCCAACGGAACACGGAATAGAGCAGATTTCAAGGGATCAAGTTGCGCCCAAACATTGCTTCATGGCAGCATTAAAGGCAAAACAGCTCTGCAATCGGGTACAGACGGTAGAAGTGGCCGAACAGCCAGTCTTGGAAGATGTAGGGGGAACCCCAGAGGAAAAGATAGTAGAGGATTTGGAGAAAGTCCTGGTAAAAGAAAACGACCCAGAAAAATACTTCCTTATCGGTACCTCGCTAGGCGCTGATGACAAACATTGGCTGCTGGAACTGCTGAGGGAAAATATGGAGGTATTCGCATGGTCAGCATATGATACTCCAGGGTTGGACCCAGAATTTGCTTGCCACAAGCTCAACATCAACCCTTCAGCTCAGCCTATTGTGCAAAAAAGTCGGAGATCGTCAGTCGAGCACACCGAAGCAGTAATTGCTGAAGTCGAAAAACTCCTGGCTTCAGGAGTAATCAAGGAAGTTCAGTACCCACAATGGCTGTCCAACACGGTTGTAGTCAAGAAGAAGAACGAAAAATGGAGAGTTTGTGTTGACTTCACTTGCTTGAACAAAGCCTGCCCTAAAGATAGCTTTCCGCTGCCTCACATTGATCAACTAGTGGACTCAATAGCAGGGCATGAGCGCATGAGCTTTCTGGACGCTTATAGCGATTATCATCAGATACCACTGTTCGGTCCGGATCAAGAAAAGACAGCGTTTATCACTCCAAGGGGAACTTACTGCTACAAAGTAATGCCATTCGGCCTAAAGAACGCCAGGGCAACCTACCAGCGAATGATTACATGGATGTTCAAGGACAAACTGGGAAAAACCATGGAAGCATATGTAGACGATATGGTAGTAAAAAGCAAGTTTGCTACAGACCATCTTGCAGACTTGAGAGAAGTTTTTGACATCCTGAAAAACCACCAGCTTCGCCTCAATGCCTCGAAATGCGCATTCGGGGTAGGAACAGGGAAGTTCTTGGGATATATGGTCACTCACAGAGGAATTGAAGCGAATCCGGATTAGATCAGAGCGATACAGGATCTTGAAGTACCAACAAAAGCTAAGGAACTGCAGAAACTAGCCGGAATGGCGGCCACACTGAATCGGTTTATTAGCAAATTCTCAGATCGGATGAAACCCTTCTTTCAACTTTTGAGGAAAAAGGCGGCATTTGAATGGAGTAGCAAATGTACCGAAGCATTGCAGAGTCTCAAAAGATACCTCAGCACACCTCCTCTACTGTCCACTCCAAAGCCGGGAGAAGAGCTGTACCTCTATCTAGCAGTCTCAGATCATGTTGTGAGCACAGTATTAATTCGAGAGGTTAACAAGGAATAGAGGCCTGTATATTATGTCAGCAAGACATAGTATCTACTGTTGGAAAAATTAGCATACGCGCTGCTTATCGCCTCAAGAAAGCTACAACATTACTTTCAGGGGCATACTATAAACGTCCTCACTAAATTCCCCCTCAGATCTGTGTTCAGCCGAGTCGATTTCTCTGGCCGAACAGCAAAATGGGCGGTAGAACTTGGTGAGTTTGACATTCGGTATCAACCCAGGACAGCAATCAAGGCCCAGGTCTTGGTAGATTTCATCGCAGAATTTGCTCCCACCCAGAGTACCGAGCCAGGGAGTTGAAGTTCGACACAGGTGCTACGCACCACCGAACAGGAAAAGCACTGCGCTTCGGAAGCATAGAAACTCTTTATTGGAAACATCTGGCAGCTCTATGTCGACGGATCATCCAATAACCGAGGCTTGGGGGCAGGAGTAGTACTTATCTCACCAGAGGGATTTATTTGGGAGCAGGCATTCACAACTAGTGGTAAACCAACTTTCTGGGGTCTATGAAACATGAGATAAAAGAATAGCTATGTACGCAGGCAAGGCTAAAGACCTACTCAAAAAGTTTCAATCCATATGAGTGGAACGAATTAGTCGGGACAAAAACAACCATGCTGATGCTCTGGCTTGCCTCGGCTCATCAGTGGATACCAAAGACGCTAGAAACGTTTGGGTTGAGTTCGTGCCAGAACCAAGCATTGTATCTCTAGTCCTCTGCAGCAACCTAGAGCCGAGCTGGATGGATCCGATACTTGCTTTTCTAAAATCTGGTACTCTCCCCGAAGACAAAAAGGAAGCTAACAAAGTCAGACATAAGTCAGCTCAGTTTTGGATCTCACCATCTGGGAAGCTGTATAGACGCTCCTATCTTGGCCCTTATCTTCTATGTGTGCATCCAAATCTGGTCGAGAATGTTCTCTACAAAATTCACAATGGGATTTGTGGATGCCACATTGGTGGAAGGTCACTGGCGCACCGAGCCCCCACTCACGGGTATTGGTGGCCACGAATGCAACAAGATGCGCAGCATTACGTATAGAAGTGTGATAAATGTCAGAGGTTTGCTCCACTCATTCATCAGCCAGCCAAAGCTCTCACTCCACTCACCAGCCCATGGTCCTTTGCCCAATGGGGTCTAGATATTGTCGGACCATTGGCACGAGGCACTGGGAACAGGCAATTCTTCATTGCTGCAACTGACTATTTCACTAAGTCGGTTGAAGTCGAGGCGCTGGCAAGTATCAAAGGAGCGGATACAAAGCGGTTTGTCATGAGAAACGTGGTGGTGCGTTTCGGCATCCCGCGGATACTGATTGTGGATAACGGAACACAGTTCGATGGTAAGATCTTCAGAAAGTTTTGTGTTGACCTCAGGATCGAGTATAAGAACTCTTCTCTAGGGTACCCACAAAGTAATGGACAGGTAGAAGCCTCAAACAAAACCATCATCAACGGAGTAAAGAAACGGCTTGAACATGCAAAAGAAAAATGGGTTGAAGAGTTACCCCACGTATTATGGGCCTACCGAACCACAGCACGGCGCTCAACAGGGGAAACACCTTACTCCCTAACTTATGGAATGAAGGCCATCATCCCACTCGAAGTAGGTCTCCTAACCCTTCGATCTGAATAGTTTGAAAGCAACAATAATGAGGAAGCTATCACACAAGCACTGGATATGGCAGAGGGCCGAAGAGAAGCAGCACTGATCAGACTTGCAGCGTATCAGCAACAGCTCATCAAGAGTTTCAACCAAAAAGTTTTCCCAAGGAAATTTACACCAGGAGAACTAGTTTTGAAGAAAGTTATGGATCACAAAAGGGTGCCTGGCGAGAGCAAACTTGGGCCTAACAGGGAGGGTCCGTACAAAGTCACAGTTGTTGTTGGAAATGGAGCTTACTACCTAGAGGATCTGAAAGGCAGAGCTATACCTCAGCCCTGGAATGTAGCAAATCTCAAGAAATACTATCAATAGAATTATCCCCCAACTTCTCTATCAGAATGTAAAGGCATTTATCTGTTGACCAATGCAAATGCTTCCCCACTTCTCTCAAACTTATCAAATTCTTGTAATTAGCTTTGATATTTACCAAACGGAAATAGCTTTGATGTTTATCAAACATAATTAGCTTTGGTCCTTACCAAACAGAATTAGCTTTGGTTCTTACCAAACGGAATTAGCTTTGGTTCTCACCAAATGGAAATAGCTTTGATGTTTATCAAACGGAATTAGCTTTGTTACTTCCCAAACGGAATCAGCTTTGCCCTTAACCCAAACGGACTTAGTTTCAGAACGACTGAACGAAATTTAAATTTGGTTAGCACTCAACCATGCTAAGTGGTATTGCTTGGTGGAATTATGTTTGGCAACTAAATTGGACTTTAGCCAAGTGGAATTGCTTGGTAGAAACCGCACTAATATATCTTAAGTAAACATCTCTATTTAGTTAAGTGGAATTGCTTGGTGGAAACCGCACTAATGTATCTTAAGTAAACATCTCTATTTAGCCAAGTGGAGTTGCTTGGTGGAAACCATGCTGACATATCTTAAGTAAACATCTTTGCATCCACAGAGCTTCTTAAGTATCAACATGTCAACATGTCAGTACTGACGCGAACAAACAAAGTTGGAACAAGCTTGGCCAAGTTCAGCCAGGAGCAGGCCTCCAGCTGGGGGCAAACGATTGTTTTTTCAAACCAAGCTGGACCTAAATAAGACACCTTTTCATGCCTTTACTCCGTTTAGGCGCTCTTATGCTATCAAAGTTGAAACAGACTTCAGCAGTTCTACCTCAGAGCATAATCTTCAGTGCCGATCTTACTTAGCTCCAGGTGGGGGCAAACAATTGTTTTCTTTCAAAACCAACCTGGACCTAAGTAAGACCCACTTACGAACTCCAGCACCGCCATATCACACATTTGTTAGCCACACCAAGCATCAGTTCGGCCCCGAGGCCCCAACAACGCTCGGCTGGAGGCAAGCAGCACAGAATCAGACAGAACATCCATTTAAAGGCAATACAGAACCAGACCGAGCATCTATTCGGCCTCGAGGTCCCAACAGTGCTTGGCCGGGGGCAAGTAGTATAGGAAACATTCAAACATAGAAGCCAAACAGCATCAGATTGCAAGTTCAAAAAGAAAATTCTATCATCCAACAAAAAACACAGATGGCCTCATAACCAGTAACAAAGAAAAGAAAAGAAAAATTGTTTTGGCAAATGTAGAAAGAAAACTCGTCATGGAGACCGAGCCACAGTACATCAAAGCAAAAAAAAGTTCAAATTCTTTCAACATCAATTTTCATCAACAGCGGGTAACTCAGGAGCAGCATCAGCAATTTTGTCCAGGCCATCTGCGAGGGGAAAAGTAGAGGAAGCTCTAACTTCCTGAGAAGTAGAAGCCTC